GATCTTGGAACCACAATGAAAAAATACCAAATCCTGATCTCAGTTGCATATTCGGATCCATCAAGCCTTCTCATTCTGCCCACCCCTCCAAATCTAAAAAGCTACACACCATTCATACCAGATCTCGTGAACGGCTAAGCATCGACGGAAATCTGGAACATAACTGAAAGTACTCGTTGGAAAACCAACAGACATGGAATAGATCCAGGAGGAGTCACCAGAAAAGCCAAGAATAAGTAGATACATAAAAAATACAAATGGGTTTCACAAGTGTTCACTTTTGTGTAGATTTTAATTTTTTTGTAAGCCTTTATATTTTGATATTGTTTGTGTTTTTGTGTTTACAGTAGTCTTCACAATGTGTTCACCATGGTGTTCCCAATGTGCAATCATATGGTGTCCTATCGAGCAATTGGAAATTTTCATCTATGGTGTAGTTTAAGTGTTCAGGTGTTCCCCCATCCTAGATTTTACAATGTGTCCACAATGGTATTCACATTGCGGTCGTAATGTATTAATAGTCACTAAATAGGTGCCAAGTGTTCACAAGGTTGTAACAAAATATTTACTATAAGTGGTAGGTTTAGTTTTATGGATTAATTATTTAGTGTTCACAATGTGGTCACAAGGTGTTCGCAAAGGTTCACAATATCTGATATGGTTTTGGTGTGAAAAGTGTTAAGGGACAAAAGAGAGATCAATAAGGAGAGAGTAAGCAGAGATTTACAAAGACCCAAAATGCCATTTATTTAATTTTGTAATTCCAAATTACCAAGATTACTAACTTCCTAATTTAATATAATTTTGTGATTTATATTATCTCTCACGGATCTTACAAATTGCAAGGATCTCAAAAGAAGGCCCCTATATATATGAGCAGGCATCATATATATTGATATAGAGCTAGGAGATTGGCTTCTCTTCGATGGCCACATCACTTCTTCGGTTGCTATAACAAAAAGTGAACAACCATAAAAACACAGTCTCCCTCTTCCCCCCTTTGAACTCTTGGGTGAACTAGCATCACCTCCTCATTTTCCAATCTTTTACCCTTTTCACCTTCAACACTTCTCCTTTTCTACGTCAAAATTCATCTTCGGCCACATCCATGTTTATCTCTGACATCTTTCCTTGTACGAGAAGCCAAAAGCTCCAGCAACCTCCATTTCATTCTATTGTAACTCTAGCGGCCCAAAAGCTCTCTTTCAACCCCCCCCCCCCCTCCATCGATCTCTCAATGTAAATCAAACCCCCTTCTATTATGACATGAGTTTAAGGTTTATTTCTGATACGTAGGGTTATGATTTTGGTTTGAATCTAGGTTGTTCAATAAGCCACCCATTTTTGCTGCTATTAAATGATAAACATAATAAAGGACTTAGATAGCTCATAAAATATATAAAATTTATATAAAAAGAGGATATTTTAACTATATAATTAGGTTCAAATATATGGTTATCATTCAATTAGGTTTTTTTCTCTTTTTTGAATCTGGATTTGGTTTTGATTTTGATTGTTAATGGCTCTTATTTTGATTTTGAGATTTAGATTAGAATTGATTTTGATTTGAGGTGTGTATGATTGACTCTTGGCCGGGGAAGTTGGTCAGTGCCGGTGTTGGTGTCATTGAAGGTGAAATTCACCAGCAAAGTTCATCTAAATGCATATATGCATATTGATGAAAGGCGGGACACTCATCATTATTTCAAGGGTGGATTTGTAAAGTTTTTTAAAGTTATTTGATAAAAACAAAATGAAAACTTGAAAAAGATGAAAATGTCGTCACTTTAGCGATTGAAAGTTAACATGCATGGTCGTTAGAGGAAGATATCAAATCCAAACACTTTTGCATACCACGATGATCATCTTTGTTTTTAAAACTATAGGGACAAAAAGTGTTATAGCAGGCAAATCATGAAGACCAAATTTGTAGTTTACTTTATCTTAAATTAATATATGCTTTGGTATTTCTTATCATCAACATAAATTAACTTATAGAAATGACATAAATAGTCTATGAACCATAGTGAACCTCTCTATCTTTTATCATTGTTGTTTTAAAATGTCGTCAAGCTTTCCATGTTTAAATTCACTTACGAAGGAGATCCCTCATTACTATAAATTTGGGTTTATAGGACACCAAATATGTGTAAAAGTCCTAAGAGGCTACTTTATGGGATTAAAAATCGAGAAAAATGATAAACTAATCATTGTCATCTCGTACTTAAGGGAGATGCATGAACGTTAGGATGAAGCACAAAATCCAAAACAAAATGTAAAGGTTAAGAGGGTGTTTGCCTTGAATTTTGAAATTTGTTGTGATTACAATCTATCAAAGGAATTGAAGTTTGAAAATGAATTAAATAGAACTCTATGAAGTTTGATCATGTGTGTATTTAGTAGGAATTGATATAGAATCTCTTAAAGAATTGAAATCTTCATGTTTGACTCACAGAAAATAATTTCGATATTGGTATGAAATTGTAATAAATGACCAAAATACTCTTTTATCACATTTTTCATACTTTCTTCTTTAAATTATATATATTATACAATGATAATATTAATTGACGGTAATGGTGATAATATTAATTGATGGTAGTGGTGGTGGTAGAAGCAATGAGTGGCAACAATATTGGGGGTATCGCTGACAACGACCGCCTTTATGGTCAGGTGGTGCTCGCAGCGAGGGTGGCGATAGGGGTGGGAGTGGGGAGACATTAGAGGGTGGTGGTGATATTGAACATGTATATAATAGACTACGGATTTTTTGGGAGTTTGGTCTTTTATAAAGATAGGTAGGAATAGAGTAAATTCCGTTATATGGTGGAATGATGAATTCCGTGAACGGATTTTATAGAATTTAATTTCATTCCATCTTCAACTAAACGCTTCATGGAAGAATTTCGTTGGATTTGTTAGATTTCTCCATATGGCTATGTTTGTCAAACATAGACTATTTTATTTTTGGGCAAATTACGTATATTTTAACTTGATTTCTATTCTGGGTAATGTACTTTCAAATATTTCATTTTTGTACCTAAGATGTATAATTTTAAACATTTAAATACTCTGGTAACCGGTTTAAATATTAACCGGTTAAACATGTTGAATCATTAACCGGTTAGATTAAAATATCCATGTCAGCAAATAATACTGAGTTGAATACCACATCGTTCATCACATCAGTATGGTAACCGGTTAATGTTTCAACCGGTTACCCGTGTACTTAAATGTTTAAAAATTTACATCCTAGGTACCAAAATAGAAGTCTTGTAAGTACGTTAAACTACGTTATTTTTTCATGCAATTTGCCCCTTTATTTATTGAGATTATTTCAAAAGTCTCATTTAGTTGGGCAAAAAGTAGCTTACAAGATAACTTATTGAAACGTTATTTGGAATAACATTTCAATAAGTTCCAGTTGAACTAGAGTGTCCATCTGCACTTGCCATAATGGAAATCGAGTGCCCTGATCAATCTTTGGAACATCGAACTTCACATATATCATAGCATTAACCGATGATAAATAATCCTAATAAAAATTCAATACCAAACATAGAAGCTCTGATACCAATTGTTGTAAAACTTGAACCGTAAATGTTTCAAAAACAAACTCAAATAGATGTTCCAAATAAGAACCATATTGATTCAGGCGGAAACGTATTATCAATCAAGAAATTCGACGAGCAAATAATCCAAACAATAGAATATCAACACACATACGTAGATCATTGTTGAACAGAAAATAAAAATGAGAGACGACACTCTACTTACGTGGAAAACCCAAAAAAGGGAAAAAAATACAGATAGAGAAGACCAGCGAGAAGTCCACTATCGTTGAGTACAATGCTTGTTAAAAGGGGAGATACAATGGAGAGTAATCCACGGTCATAAAGAAAAATGGGAGCCCCACTAAATTTTATAGAACCGTGCATCGTAATCGCCTAGTGTGTTTGGGGCGACTTCCCGTGCTACTAGAGTTGCCGAAAAAGTCACCTGAATTTCTATTTCCTTGAGAGGATTAGAACATACAAACAGGAACTAAGGTGAGTTTTCTGGCGGATTTAGTAGCTTACAAAGTCATCGGAGCTACTATTTCTTCATATTAGAAGCTGATTTTTGAAACCAAACTTCTCAAACATATTGTGTGTTATTTATCCGAGTTTACTATATAGAATCATGACACAAATGTTAGAAGTCGTCATTTATTTCGTTAAACTATTTGACAGAGATATACATTGTGTTAAGGTTCAAAGTGAAAACCTACCTTCATTTATGCATAATGAGGTTGGTATTAGTGAGGGATTATTAATGAGTTATCTTAATTAAGTCTTAAAGAAAATCACGATATTTAGGTCCAATGAAGCTCTTGGCCTTTCTAGTATTTGATACATACCCTACAACATAAAAGACGAGTTTTCACACAAACCTACTAGATTTCAACATTATAAGACATCACAAGCTTTAACAATATATCAAATTAGGACCAAAAAATATACACATTTGCAAACATTCGCTAACTAAATATAGCAGTTACATAGATAAATTTAATATTCAAGAGATGCTTTAAAAAAGGAATTCAGCTAATACCACTTCTATTTYAGAAAATGTTTTAAAGAACTTCTTAAAACGTCTTATGAACCTGTTCTAACCTTTTCTTTTAGATAATACACTTTATAGTTTGGTCTTGTAAACTTAATTAAGTCCCATAAACTATGCTATTAAGACGCTTTAATACTCTAAACGTCCTATAAACTCAAATTTTGTTGTAGTGTAGTTTTGACGACAAATAATAAAACCAATGCTGATTCATCAGTGAAATTTTAACGGGTTACCAACATTTCAATAAAAGTTCTCGATCAAAGAAAATGAAAAGAAAAATCCAAAAATTATCCGTCGGTAATTGCTGAACGATGAACAATGAATTATTATGTTCTCTTTTTCAAATTTTCACAATTCACAGGAAAAGGATCAAGTAAAAAACAAACAATTTATTAAAGAATTCATTGCAGCACGTTCCGTTTTAAACAAATCAAATACTCATACAATTTTCGATTGATTTAAATCAAATTTATGCTATTAACAACTTATGATTCAAGTTAAAACCCACATCATGATCAATTGGTTGTCGTACAAACACTACGAATTTCTCCTTGCATTCCCGTTTTCACCTCAGTATTACCCATCTTCACCATGGCTCTTCCAAACTCGCTGTTGAATCTCGATCCAGGTTGCCCTCTCGTTCCCAGAAACCCTTGTACAAACCTCTGAGTCCTCCGGTCGCTCCATAGCTTTGCATCGGATTCAAGAACTCCTCGTCCATTCCTCAGATTTTCATAGAAGGAACTGCCAAAGCGATCAACGCTGCCTGTATCAAGGGCCACACGCCTCAACCCATCACCACCATTGGGACAAAGTGCTCGGAGTTGGGGAAGGAACGCTTGGTTTATTTCAGGGTCAGGTCCATTGGTATTGTTGAAGTTGTATAGTCTGTAGCTGAATAATGCACAAGCTGACGTTCCAATTGTATGTCCGCCTAGTAAAAGGAAGATTACACGGTTTAATWTGTGATTAACAGGGTTGCATATTATGTAATATATAGTTATTCTACATTTTTAATTGTTGCTTACCAACAAGAGTAACAAGATCTTGTGTGTTAAGACCTTTGTCTGCAAACTTTCTGATTTGAACACTAATAGGGTCGTTAAACGCAGGTAAGGCTGCGGTATCAGATGCTTGTGAAACCAATCCATCTCTACGCCCTAATGGCACCTGCCAACTACGTCCACCGGTCTGCAAGATGTTAGGAAAACGATAAATAACCAATTAACAAGTAGTTCTTAATGCATAAACTCAAAGATGGTGTGCTAAGAAAAATCCAATTACCTGGACTACAGAATCACGTGCAGCAAGGGCAAGAATATCAGCACAAGAGACCACTCCAGGACAGATGGTTTCAAGTTGGGACTTTGCAGCATCGATAACATCAAAGCCTCTCAAGAGGGAGTTGGGCGGCGCAGTCTTCTCAGTGGATGGGCCATCGATGAGAATAGACGCATCACAACCATTAACAAAACAGTCATGGAAGAACATCCTTAGTAAACCAGGTGCAACTGTGGGGTTGGCTCGGACAGCAGACTGTACCGCTGATTGGACTATGGATTCTACTCTTGGGCAGGTGGCCCTATAGAATCCCACCCGAGTTCCTTGCCTGCCACGCCCATTGCCCTGGCCTAGTGACATGGTGGTGAAGGTGGCTAACAGAAGAACCAACAAGATAAGCGTTTTGTTAAGTGAAGAAACCTCCATTACTACCAAAGATTGTTGGTATGTTTATGTGCCAAAGGACTGTGTATGAAGCTAGCTAGGTATTGTATTCAGTAAATGAGATGATGAAGGAGATTGCAGAGAGAAGGTGGTATTTATAGCCGTTGTTATGAAAGTCAACACCATATTAATTTGGATAACAAAAGGTGAACAAACTCAACACGGATCGAGATGTTTGGGATTAATTAGGAAGCTGCGGAGAAAGAGAAACCTTCAAGCTTAACAAGTGGGATCCAACCCATGGTCAAGATTCCTCTTTTACTTTGATAATTTATAAATTTATATATTAAAGTAATTTTCTTGACACGTTTTTTAAAATTTCAAAACAAAAACTGTTTATTTTATTTTTGTAGATCAACTACACATGATAATATGATGTATCCCATCAAGGTATTAAAAAATTGAAAGTTAAAAATCAAACAAATTAAAACATCAGAAAGTGTTTACATTGAATTCATTTGAATACCGTTTCAAATTTATGAATATTTCGGTCAACTTCGACTTATATAAACAAAAAACGAATGAACTATTCTAAGAATGGTTACTACCACCCTTAATTTAATTCATGCTACTATGTCAACCAAACAACGTAAACGCCATTTTGACAATCAAAAGTTGGTGGCACTTAAAAAGTCAACCAATTTACAATATTTTGGATAATAAAGATTGTATTAAAAGGTTGTTTACCGTGTGATGCGATAGGATATTTAAGACCAGTAACTCGAACTCTCATTCTTGTAAAGAGATGTCAATCGTCGGGGTTTAACCTCTATAACAAAGTCATATCATGCAATTACAATGGTTAGTGGGGTGATTGTATGCCGAATAATTTCATAAGATTCATTCAATTTTAAAATATCAAATCTGTTCAAGATGTCATAATATCTACTACATCATCCAATATTATTACCTAACACGAGTATCATCCTAATTCACAAAATAACTAACCAATACATTAGAAAAGTTACTCTTACATGGTAAAATTACTCTTATCAACTATAGTTATACCCTTATTTCGATAGCTCATTTTTAATTCTAACTTTCACATTCCATCATTTTACTTTATCTTTTTGTTATTTCATTCATTTAATAAGACAAACTAGGGAAACATATAATTTTATAAAAATCATATATATTATAAAAGTTGGTTCTCGTAAGATTAAAACAAATAAAATCAAAAACCAACCAAATTAAACTATCGAAAAGTTGGTTAGTTTCCTTATTGATCCGTCGTTGATCTACGAGAGATTTCTTACGTCGCTAATATCCATCGTTGATACATTGTTTTGTAGTAGTGAAATTGAATTCTTCATTCAAGTACCGCTCAAGTTTATAAATAATTCAACTAGCTTTGATTTAAATAAAAAAAAAAACAAATCAACTATTCAAAGAATGGTTACTACCACCTCCCGAATTAATTCATGCTATTATGTCAACCATAGAGGCGATTACGACGGTTATGTATATATCATGTATTTTATTTATAATATAATATCCATGAAGTTATAAAAGCTGAAATA